AGGACGGAGAAGGATGAAGAATCGGCAGAGGATGATGATGATGTAGAAGGAGGAGGAGAAGGAGGAGGTGGAGCAGGAGGTCCTCCTCCCCATCTCCGCTCCCTTTCCTTCCCCCCCGTCCCATCCTCGACCTCTCCCCCTCCCCCCCGCCGGATCCAGGGGCGGTCGCCCCTCCATTGTGCAGAGGCTCGCGCCCGTGCGCCCGTCAGTGTCTGCTGCTGGCCCCTCTTCGGAGGGGGGGGGTGCGGGCGGCCGCCGCCCTTCGCCCTCCGGGGGGGCGGCGACAGTGGGGGCCTCTGGCTCAGGAGGGGGGGGGTGGCAGGCGCAGGGGGGCGGGAGCTCTGGCGCAGGGGCTCTGGCTTTGGCTCTGGCAGATTCAGATCGAGAGGCTCGTGTCCTCGTCGTCGTCGTCGTCCTCCGAGTCGTGTGGGGTTCCCGAGTGCACAGTACGCTCGAGGGAACGAGAGGCCGACTGCGTCTATCCACCGGTCCTCGGCCCGGGAGGTGCCTTCGTGATGGGGGGTGGGAGGCATCGACCCCCAGCGTCAGGGTGGGGATTTTGTTGGGGCGTTCGTGCAGGAGTGTGCCCAGGAGGCCTCAGACCCTGGAGGCCTCCTTATCCGAGAAAGCGGCGGTGATATCCATGGCCAGGCTTCAATTGGTATTCCACCGTCTTTCAGACCCTGGATTCCTTATCCACTGGCTCCTTATCCAATGCCCTCACTGTAGGGGTTCGGGGTTCTAGGTTCGAGGTTTTCGGGCGTTTCCGTGGGCTTCCAAAGGTTTTCCAGTCGCAGGGTGGGTTCCAGCAGCCGCGCCTCGCCGAGGGCGTTCTGGAGGTGTCCAGATCGTCGTGAGCGGCCGCCAGAGATCCAAGTTATGACCCGAAAGCCAGACGACGAGAATCATTGGATCAGCGGGGACTCATAGACCCCCAAACGCGCATTTCGTCGCCGTCAGGGGCCTGATGGCCCACTCCGCCAAGGAGCGCGCGGTCCCGCCATCGAGAGCCCATCGCCGAGCTATCGGCGACGTGTCGCCCCAGGTCGATGTGCCCCCCCTGAGCTGGTCCCCCCTCTGTCGCGTTCGCCCCTGGCCCCTCCCCGCCCTCTCTCGCCCCCGCCCCGCCCCTTCCGGCGCGACCGGGGCCATGGAGAGCGCCCAGACCTGGAAGAAGGCCGGCCCTCGGCCGCCGTCGTCCCTCGTGTCCTCCCGTCGTGGCAGAGATCGTGGCGGAGGGCTCGTTGGCAGTCTTCGGCCCCGGGGGCGTCAGAACTCAGGAGGGAAAGAAACACAAAGACACAATTAATCGTCGACTTCCAGGGATGCGAAGCCGGTCCCCAAGAGGGGGTCCAGATCGACAAGGTTTTTGGGATGCCACCTTGCGAACGAAGACGCGATGTTGGATGTCTGGGGTCGCCGCTGCGGGTGTCGCCGTCGCCGCGGTCGTCGTCGCCGTCGTCATTATCCCTCCACTCGGCTCCCTCATCCGTCGCCTTCCTCCATTTCCTCTTCGGCCCCTTTTCCTCGTGTGCAGCGCGTCCTCGTCGCGCAGTCAGGCGTGCTGGCAGGTGCGGGTGGCCAAACGTTGGGCCAAAGCGTGGCCAAGCTATTGGACTGTCTGTTGCCCCAGCTGTTGTGGAAACCCTTGGGGGAACACTTTGGGAAGGAATAAAGAGGGGCAGGAGAGGGAGGAAAGGGAGGAGTGGAAGGATGAGGATGAGAAGGAGGAGGGGGGAGAGGATGCCTCTTGCGGGCCTCGCTGGGCCCTCTCGGGGCCTCCTGGGGGCTTTCTGGGAGCATTTTGGGAGCCTCTGAGGGGATTGGGGAGCATTTTCTCTCGGAGCACCTACGGGGATTGGGAGCGGTCTCGGATCTCTTCCAGCCTCGTGGCGGACCCTCGCCGACGCGCGTGGGTCTGTCTCGGCACTCCAGCCCGAGCACTCCCATGGCCGGGTCGGCCAGGTCGGCGGTCGGCTCCGAGAGGCCGGCGGCTCAGAACGCACAGCAGAAAACGGTTCCTTAGACTGTCGCGTGGCCGGTTCTGGCCGACCACGCTTCGTCGCCTCCTCCTCCTCCTCCTCCTCCTCCTCCTCCTCGTCCTCTTCCTCCTCCTCCTCCTCCTCCTCCTCCTGATCCTCCTCCTCCTCCTCCTGCGACACGCGGAGCACGTCCCAGTCCCCAAGAAGCAACGCCCCGAGCGCTTCCCAGCCTCCCAGCCCGCGGAGGGGAGCGGTGCGCTATCCACTCGCAAGGCACAGCGTGTCGCCGGGGCCGCCGCCGCGGCGCGCTGAGCCAAAATTCCCGACCGTCTGGCGCCGCGCACAAGGATCACGGCTCGTGTGACTTGCCAGATCTCGGGCTCCCCGGGGGGCCATCTCCGGCCCCCACAGGGCCAGCAGGGCACAACCCCGCGGCGGCAGAAGACCTGCCCTCAGGAGAGCTCTGGGTCCCACGAGGTCCGTGCCTTCCTCGCCCGGGGTTTTGTCCTGCCCAGCTT